TGTGGTTTTAACAGATCATATCGGGATATTCCTTGAGCTCGCGTCATATCTCCTCTCCCATTTGGAATAAGCACCAACAAGCCTAGAATACCAAGATGTCAACCCAGGTGTCATTCTCATCATATTTCATCAAATTATCATCATATTTTATTAAAATGGAGTGTTCATAGATTTTAAGATAAGTTATAACTTAAACATCAGCAGAAAAAGTATTTAAAACTGTGAATTTATTATAAGATTGTATCAATAGTATGATCTATGTCTTATATATTAAAATGTAAAAAGAATGTCTCAGAATAAATGAAATATGGTACATACACTTAAAGATGACTTCTCTTTGGCTTACTATTTTAAAACTTTTCTTTTTCTGCTTCTACTTAAATATCATTTGTCAAAGTAAGGTAAATATAATTGTGCCAGGATAATCGTATTGCATACACGCACGGCATTTTTTATGTAATTTCTCTGTCTGCTCCTGGATGAATTTCCAACACTCAAAGCCCACCTGAGAAGCTTCTTCCTCTAGGAGGCCTTTCCCAGTGTTATTAATATAATGGAAATAACCTTCCCTTGTCTGGTATCACCAAGAGAACCAGTTATTCTGTACCCACAGCTTTGCAGTTATTTTTTCTACTTGAAAGTCCCTTGAGGGCAGTGATTCCTGTTTGTGGATCCCTGTCAAGAGCTCTTACATGCAAATACATTTTCTCAATAAAAATTATCTGAGTTGTTGACTGTCAAGTTCATGGTCTTCCTTGAAAGTCATCTCCTTCCTTCTTTTTCTCTGTTGTTATTCTAAATCTTCCTCTTCTTACTAAAGTATTTTCTACTTGGCCAAAAAAATATTATGCTTTTCTGGTTTCTGCTCTGAATTCCTCTGGAGAAAAACACCTTTGTCCTTACTACAAATACAGTCTAACTTCAAAGAGTCATTGGAATGGAATCTTTCTTCTCATTTTTCCAAGGAGAATGAATGAGAAGCAGGATGGGTGAGGAGTAATAGTTCAGGAGGGTTGTGACATATTCACGGAAAAGAATTAAGATGGCTGTTCCTTCCCTCAGGGTCCTTGTTTAATATCCATGCTACAACAAGTCAGTTATATTTTTGATTTACATTTACCCTTATTCATTTTTTATTCTATACTTCTATAGAAGAATCCATCTTAAAACATCCTAATTCATTTTTATTAAAATAGTAGGGAGAAGGGGGATTTTGAGGATATATTTTTATAGAACTTGGGAAGGGAGGCCAGGGGAAGCATTAGTTTTGGGGAAGCCAGGTGTACTGGAAGCAACTCTCCAATCTGTAAATTTTAGGACAATATGATCTTTCGAATTTAAGAAGTGTAGCAAATGGATGAAATCACAGCTTTCCCCACCCCCTTTCTATTAGTACAACTGCTTACTTCTCAGGAATACATTCAACTGGACCCCATCTTATAAAGTAGCCATGCTATTGCTGTATGCTTGTGAACCATGCAATGTGGAAAATAGGAATGTTAACTATGTTAACTATGAACTAGCTGCAGCAATAGCACCTGGAAGTTTGCTAAAAAAATAAATTACTACCCTGCCCCCCAAGCTACTGAATCAGAACATACAGGAATGGGAACCAGTGATCTGTTTTAACAAGGCTTCCAGGAGATGCTGATTTATATTCAAATTTCAGAACCCTTGTTCTAACAGTTTCTTAACCTCTGAGTTATTAACATTTTGGGCCAGGTAATTCTTGTTGAGGAAGGCTGTTCTGTGCACTGTAGGATGTTTAGCAGCATCCCTGGCCTCTACCCACTAGATGCCAATAGTATCTCCTCAGTTGTGACATCAAATATATCCTCAGACATTGCTAAATGTTCCCTAGAAGCACAAGTTGACCCCAGATGAAAACCAAGATCTAAGGTAATGGTCATAATTTCACGCCCCTGTTTAGCCAGAATAATTGACTCACAGCATTTATCTGACATAATTTGGCCTGATCGTGCTGAAGCCAAGGATTTATGTTTGTTGGTTGACGAAACAGTTCTCACTTTGGCTGGTATGATGAGTGCAAAGTTCAAAGTTGCTATAGAATTTTGTTCCATAGGAAAACATGGCCCAACGATGAAGTTCCCAAATAAAGAAAACAAGAGTAAATGAAAAGATGACAGGGCCAAAGCCTGAATCAATTATACCTGAGACTTGACCAATCTCTGGATATTTTAGTTACATGAAGCTAATGGATTTCAGATTTCCTTTTAAACCAATTGAGAAGTTTCTGTTCATGTCCTTTGCCCACTTTTTGATAGGGTCGTTTGATTTTTTCTTGTTGATTTTCCCGAGTTCT